CCCCGACGACCTCTTTGCGCCCCTCCTCGCCCTTCCTCGCAGTCCCGAGCGCCTGCCTGCCTGCCCGCCCGCCCTGGAATTTCCCAAAGAAAAAGCGGCTGGCAAAGCAGAAGCAGACGCACGGGGGGAGTGGGGGTAGGTAATGGTCCTGCATTGGCGGGGGAAGGATGCCGAGAGAGTGCAAATGATTCTTTTCCACGGCCGCGAAAGAAAGAGGCAGACACCTGCACACTCGGTCACGACCTAAAATAGACCTGTCCAACGGTGATCCTCTCTGGGTCCAAACTCGGAACGGCAAACTGCTCTTGAACCCGCCTCCCAGCCTCAGAAGGCTGGCCTGCGTGGCACGGCGTGGTAGTGTGGTGGGAGCCACACATTCCACGCTTTCGAAACCCCTGACGATCCTCAGGTATGATACCCATGAGTGAGGCTTCCCTCTTTAACAGGCACGTGCAGGTCGGAGGATTTTTTCGAAATTGCCGCGAGCCTCGATCTGTGAGAAAAGTACATTTCTGTATCTGCACAGATATAAAAGCAACATAATTTTTTTTAATTTTAAAAAAATGTGCACATAATCTTGCTGCTGGTATTGAATTAAAACGAAATAGGCATCACGGTTCTTCAAAAGGATAGATATAATTTTCTTTACTATTTCATGATGTCTGCCGTTTCCAATAAAAAATATATCACAAGCCACTAGAAATTTAAGTCATTTTAGTTGTCATCTCAAATGAAAAAAGTCCATATACAAAGCCATCATAATCAGGTTTGTTATTGCTCATACTTCATTGAACCTGCTAGTCAAGTCAACTCCCAGGATATGGGAACAGGGTAAAATTCTAAGTACCACAGGCTATAACAAACTTCTTCCAAAATAATGCTTAGGATTAGTTCTTGGCTGTATGCTTGTGTTTGTTTAAACTTGCACTAAAGTTATTGAATTATCTAAACAGAAATATCTGAAAGAAGTGGTACCTGGTTGTCAATTTAAATTCAATATACTTGAAGTATAAAATGTTAGAATGATTGAAACTGTATAGGAAATTTACAAAACATATAAATCTTAATGGTGTGACTTGAGATGTACTATATAATTGAAAAATCCTGGAACATTTACCTATGGTAGTTCTGTCTTATCTCAGGTGAGTACCTTCTACTTTTAGAAATATTGTTTCATTTGCTAATTTAAAATGATATATCTTTTTAAAATACAGAAATCCGGACTCAAAGCTTTTTTTACTAGCTTTTTGTACCCCACTGTGCATAGATGCATATAGCAAGAGTTCTGTCTCTTGCTATTTTTAGACTCCCTTCATGAGTGCTTTGAGACAGTGACAACCTGAACTTTCTATTTCCTTTCTGAATGAATAGCTTAACATCATTCTAACATTTCCATTTTAATTTTCCCTGTTTTGTTTCTTAAGCAGTATAATTGTGCATTTTGGGGTGTGTGTATGTGTTGGTTTGTTTGGCTATTTTTTTCCATTTTTTTTTTTAGTGAAGATAGGGAGTGGGTTAAGAGGATATCACCATTTCAAAGTAGGAAACCCTCACTTCTTTTGCACACTTAATTCAGTTTCAGAGAGATGTGAAAGAGCTTACCAATTAAAAAGATTTCCCCAGTAGACTGTCAACTCATGGCCAGTATGGTACCATGGAAAGTCCATGGGGCTTGGAGTCACACTCATAACTTACTTCCTTTGCGGTCTACTCAAGCTATTTGAGCTTCAGTCTGCTCATTCCCTACATACAGATGTTAACATCTGTCCCATAGGGAAAGGAGGATTCAGTGGAATAATTTCAACTCAGCAGCTGACATATAGTAAATATATCTTTGTATCATTAGTATATAGGCATAATGTGTGTTGCATGACCTATAAGCACGTGTAATACCAATTATACCCATACCCACATACGTGTCTGTGTAATTGTACAGTTATGTTTTCAATACCATTCTCAAAACCATAAAGTTTTGAAAAGACAGCCGGTCCGTTTCCTATTGTCCCATAAAGCCTATTTCCCTGTATATGTTACAAATGACTGTGTTTGTATTAGCAATACTTTTAACTAAAAGGTAGCTGCCTAATAATAGAAGATACCTGAAATGTTCATTTTTCAATTTACAAATTTAAAAAATATATTTTAATGTTGAATATTAATTTTGTATGTGTTTTTACATACCCATACTTCCTAAGGACAACCCTTCAAGATAGGAAGCTGATGAATCTGAGTTTCAAAAAAAAGAAAAACAATCTGAGCTTTAAGAGGCAATATTACACAGTGGTTGAGAAGACATGCTTCAGATTCAATGGAACCTGGATTTGGCTTCCAGTTTCATGACCCACTTATATGTCTGTTGTTGGGAAAATGACTTCGTTTCAAAGCCTCAGTTTACTCCGCCCAAAGTAGGGATGATAATACTATTTCATAGGATTAAAGACACTAATACATTTAAGGTGTATTTAGTGTAGTAGCAGGTGTCAATCAATAATGTTGCCCTTCATTGGCTGTGATTATTTTGTATAGTTATTTTTCAGTGTTTTCAGCACCTACCATACCTGGCTTGTGTCTTACATTGAATAAATGTGTTCAAAAATGAATGGATGAAAACAATAATTCTTCGTGCTATCCCCACTTCCTTCACCTGTTCTTTAAAGATCAGATTTCTTGCTTTCTGTAAGCTTTATCTGAACAGAATACTCCAAATTCTATGTGGGTTTAAACCAGTATAAGACAGAGGGAGAAGACTCTTACCTCACCCTCAACCTTTAGAAATACAACTCCTGTTAATGTAGCCCTAAATCAAATTAGATAGGTTTAAGTTGGTTTGGTTTGGGGTTTTTCAACAACATGACATGAATGATTCATGTAATATAGCAATAATTCATTTTTGGCATGTAGTACATTCTCAGATAATTTTGGTTCCATTCTTTTATACCATTATCAACCTGAAAAGCCAGGTTTTTTGTTTTTTGTTTGTTTTGTTTTGTCAGCAGCAGTGTATCTCCAATAAGTAGCTTTACATGTAGATTTTTGAGATATAAAGTATAAAATTATACATACTTATATAAATTTAATTTTTCATGCAAAAATTAAATTTTGTATGCCCATGTAACAAACCTGTGTACATGTGCACCTTGAATCTAAAATTTGAATGAATAAAAAGGGAAAGATTTGTTAATATACTTTATTTTTATTTTATTGAAATTTTCTATTTATATTTCGTCTGCTAGGAATTTCTTAATCCTGATTATATCATGTAAATGACTTATTGTCTTATTATTATTATTATCATCATCTCATCTGCAAATTTGAGAACATTCTTTCTACATCTTCATCCAGATATTTGATTGAACAGAATGAAAACAGCTCAGTAGTCACAAGTAATACTCCACTTGAAATAAATTCACATTTTTTAAACTGTGGAACCTAACCCATTAGGGAGTCATGAAATTGATTTAGTGGGTTGCAACCAGCAGTTTAGTTTTTTTTTTAATGAAATAGAATAAAAACAAACAATGGGGAAATCTCCAAATACATCCATTTTGTTAGGGTAAGTACTTTTATGAAACTTGTTTTAATTATAATTATGTATATACACATATGCTTACTAGGTATTGGTATATATGTTTTGGTTTTGGTTTTTTTTTTTTTTTTTTTGGAGTTGGAGTCTTTCTCTGTCGCCCAGGCTGGAGTGCAGTGGCACGCTCACGGCCAACCCAGCATCAACCTAGTGGGCTCCAGCGATCCTTCTGCCTCAGCCTTCCAAGTAGCCAGAACTACAGGCACACGCTACCACGCCCAGCTAATTTTTTGAATTATTGTGGAGATGAGGTCTCGCCAAGTTGCCCAGGCTGGTCTCGAGCCCACTGGCTCATGCAGTCCACTTGCCTTGGCCTCCCAAAGTGCTAGGATGACAGACTGAGCCACCAAGCCCGACTGACATATATGTATTTCTTACTGCAAGTCATGCTCAAGAAGTTTGAAAACGACTTTAAGTTGTTTGTAACACCTGTTTAGTGTAATCCTCCAATTCTTAATTAACTACCATACTGTGCCAATGACTAGCTCATATTCTTCTAACTTTTTCAAAAGAATATCATAAAGGATCTCGACAGCTGGCTAGTTGATGTCTGGACACACTTTGTCTCTGTGGCTGAACAAAATTAAATGAAAACATATTGATGTGAATTATGATCAGTCTTGTTGATGTACAGCTTCTATGGATTTCCAAGAATGTACCTCTCTGGTCCTTTAGTGCTTCAATCCTCTGGCACTTCTGCTTCTCTATGACACTTCAAAGACCACTGGGAGTTGTTCAGTGATCTAGTTATCAGATTTTTTTGAGATCAGTGGGTATGATTTGCCCTGCCTTGAAGACTTGAAGTCATTTAGACTATGCAGGAGTCTATTGACAATTTCTTCACCAAACTTAATCTTCAGTTTCCTCCAAATACTATTAGTTTTCCCTTTTTGGCTCCACTAATTTTTCTCCTAAACAGAGAACACAGATGCAAAATAGAAATTTTGTATTTGTTACTTAATATGACTGAGTTTTGGAGTGGTTAAAATTTCTATTCTTACCAACCAACGAATATTTGTGTGTCAAAAACCAGACTAATTGAAATGGATAATTTCAGATTTTCTGTTTAAAGAAAGATTGTGTTTACACAAGGAAAGTTCATCAGCAAATTGTTAAAAAAAACAAAAAGTCAAATGAATGGTTCAAAAATAATAAGTACTCTAGGATTTCAAAATAATGAGGGATTGTAAAAATACCCTGATGAACACATATACCTTCAAACACCACATAAACATATACACAAATGCAACACACACACACACACACACACACACACACACACACACACACACACACACACACCTACCTATCCACCATTAGAATCAGATCTCTGCCCCCTTTTCCTGGCAATATGTCTAGCATTCATCCATTTTTTTCCATTCTCACTGCCATCATCTTGATTCAGATCCATAGTCTCACTTCTCCAATCCGTTCTTACATGGGTCATCTTCCTAAAGCTTCACCTTGATGGGCACATTAGTGGTTCAGGGTTTCTACTTTATTAATACCAGTGATTTCTATGTTTCATATATGTATGAAATGCTGAAAACATCACCAATAATTCTCTTTGCCTAACAAATTAACCCCAGAGTCCTTATCTTTGTTTCAAAAGCCATCCATACTTTGGCTTATTTTCTAGATTTATTTCATTCTGCTCCTAACAGGAACTCTAAGCCAATGATTCCCAATGTTTTTTAACGTGTACAACTCTTTTATCATTTTTTAAAAGTTGCAGACTGCTAGACTCCTACCTGAGAGACTTATTCTTTTACTGTCCATTAATTGAGGAAACACAGTGATGAATATCTGCTTTCTAGTCAATTATG